ATGTATCGTGATACGTATCGTATCGTGACTTTGCTGGTGATACACAGCCCTACTATATATAGAATACAGTATATACATAAACAGAATATATATACATAAACACATTTTTTGCAATTATCACTCAAATGTGGTGATCAAACACTTACGTGACAGAGATACGTAATGGAGGCAGGGCATTTAACAATTTAACAATAAACTTTATTATCCAAAATGAGTCTGACATCAGTGCACTGAACAGTAAAGTTGAAGTTTATTCAACTTTAATTCAATTCAATTCCATTCAACTTTATTCTGTTGAAGTTTTTCACTTCGGAAACATTCATTCACGGATTTGCGCTACTGTCTTCACACACAGACGAAACTTACTAGAGAAGTGTGAAGTGTGACATAATATACCTCTGTAAATAAATACAATATAAATAGGGATGCACCGAAATGAAAATTCTTGGCCGAAGCCGAAACCGAACAAAATTAAACACTGGGCCGAAGGCCGAATACCGAACACGGTTTTTCGAGTTTTTTTCCCCATGAATTTTGCCAATTTGTTTTCCACCATTGCATAAATTAAAAAGCCAAAATGTGCTTTTTACTGTTTCGTCTTGCTTTTCAAAAAAAATTAATCAATTACTAGTGACCTGAAGGGCTTGTCGTGTCCAGCTGAAGCTGTTAGGAAGACCTTGATTCTCTATACGGTTCCTCCACTGCAACCCATCTACAGTCCCGAGTAACACATCACAGCCTGCGTCCCGCAACAGCGCTGGAGAGAAGAGAGATTACACTAAGTTTAATTAAGAAAAAACTGGGACAGAAGAGAGAACACACTAATATCAATATCTAATCGAAAATATAATCATATATAACTCGTTAAAGGTGTTATAAATTGTACAGGCATCTAGTAAATCTGGTGATCAGATCAGTGGCTGGTTTCTGATGGAAAGTAGTTCAGTTGCTGAAAAAGATGCAGGAGAGTGTTTTTCTTTTTAACTAAAACTATTAAAATAATTTCTGTTAAATTTAATAAAGCTGAAATAAAATAGTGCTGTCAAACGATTAATCGCATCCAAAATAAAAGTTTTTGTTTACATAATATGTGTTTACTGTGTATATTTATTACGTATATATAAATACACACACATACAGTATATATTTTGAAAATATTTACATGTGCATATATTTATATTTGTATAATTTATAATATATATAAATATATTTAATATTAGTGCTGTCAAACAATTAATCGCGATTAATCGCATCCAAAATAAAAGTTTTGTTTACATAATATTTGTATGTGTACTGTGTATATTTATTATGTATATATAAATACACACACATACAGTATATATTTTGAAAATATTTACATGTATTTACATGTGTATATTTATATAATTTATATTATATGTAAATATATTTAATATACAAATATAGCATATTTTTCTCAAATATATACATGCATGTGTTTGTATTTATATATACATAATAAATATACACAGTACACATACATATATTATGTAAACAAAACTTTTATTTTGGATGCGATTAATCGCGATTAATTGTTTGACAGCACTATTTAAACATATTTTCTTAAATATACAGTATATGTGCATGTATGTGCATTTCTAAATACATAATAAATATACACATTACATACATATATTATGTAAACAAAGAAAATCAGATTTTGGATGCGATTAATCACGATTAATCGTTTGACAGCACTAAAATAAAATAAATATCAGATGGGGGGGAAAAAACTTGAGAATTAGAAATGTTACTTTGGCAACAGACTCAAATAAAATAAGTTTAAATTTAAATACTAAAATGACTAAATCTAAAAATGAAATAAACGTAAGCTAAATAGATTTTTTTTATATAAATTAATAAAAATGTAAAAAAGCACATAAAATCACTCAAAATAAAACCTGAAGATATAAAAATAAAAGCTCATTCAAAATATTATTATAGTAAATAATCCTAAAACAACATGAATGATGACATCTGCTTGTGTGATGAAATGAGTGGACAGGAGAGCAGGAGCAGTAGTTCTCTGACCTGCGTGAATCTGAAGCGTCAGACTCTTGATGAAGTTCTCAGGCTTTAACAGGCTCACTCTCACCGCTGCCTCTTTCCTCTGCTGCTGCTCTTGTAGTTTCTCCTCTTTGAGCTGTCTCCGTGTCTCTGTGGCAGCTCTTCTGATCTCCTGCTCCTCCTCTCGTGTCCTCCTCCTCCTCTTCTCTCCAGCCGCGCGGATGCTGCCGTCTTCTGGCCGACCGGAAGTGCTCCTGGATGCGGCTGAAGGGTTTGATTCATTCGTACATGTGTCCTGATCGAGTATTACACATGATGATGATGATGATGATGATGGTTTATTTTCATCACTCTCTTCCTCTGAGTCTGATATCTCCCACGTGTTCGCTCTCTGCACGGCTGACATCCCTTTAAATCATCTGCGGGTCATTTATTATAACTACATGTATATACACTATTACATATTTTTAAATATGCTGTATGATAATCGAGTTATTATATGTAAATTGAGCCTGAGCAGATCTTGATGAATGCGTTTTATTGTTTCCTACACTGTCAGTAAATTGTTAGTTTCCAACAGGCTGCGTGCGAATGTAAATAAATACGGGGCGCTGAGAGGGACAAGAGTAGTACGGATTGCGTTTCGAAAATGATTAAAAGTTTGTAGAAGTAAGTTTTTGTTTAATTTCGATTAGATTTTTCGGTGAAATCATGTTATTATATATTCATTTATTATATATATGTTATTATATATTCATTTTTACTTTTTACACAGTTTTATTTATACAATTTATAACTGTACATTCTAATGTTTTCATTGAGCCTTTTTTTTGCACAGTGTTATTTTGATTTCAGTATATATCCTGTATATAATTTTTCAGTGTATATCTTGTATACACTATATATATATATATATTCCCAGTTCAATTCAAGTTTATTTGTATTGTGCTTTTCACGATACAAATCATTGTAAAGCAGCTTTACGGAACTGATTTCATGGGGACTTTAAGTAATTTTTTATAAATGTGCCATAGGAAAAAAAAACATTACCGGTGTCCATCTTGAGACAAAAGAAAGGCATTGATATATTTTAAGATCAATCAGTGCAAGCTTCTTTCAGATGAAACAGCTCAGATTGCTCAGATTACATTTTAGTCTGGGACTAGGTTTAAGCCTTGTCTGTGAAGCGGGGGTTTGTGTTTTTTATGCCTGTTTAAAGCGCTTTAATTTACCACAGATTATGAAATATCCTATATAAATACATTTTCTTTCCCTACATATCATGAGACTTAAATGAGTACTGATTTGTTTTAAAACATGAATAAACATACATGATTAAATTATCTAATCTCTTATTTATCTGGGGTCTCGGCTGTTTCATGATTACCCAATCAACACTAAATGCTGTGTCAGCGCTGCGAAAAACAACGTCATGCGGCCAGTCACATGACTCCCAGGCTGTGACGTAACTCGAAAGGCGGGAAACTGTCAGTCGATAGAACATCCGGATAGACTGTTCCCACAGTTTAACGCTTTTAATCATTTCATCATGATTTACAGATCATCAGATATCTGCGGCACATTCTGAAGATCTCCACCTTTGTGGGTCACGTAAACAAAAAGAATTTAGTCTGCTTTGTCGTTATTTGAGAGGACTGCAGTGATTTCTCTGGGGTCGAGATGGCCAAAGTAGCAGAACAAGGTAAATTAAGCATTTCACTGGTTTCAGGATGTTTGTGAATTCAGTGCCATTTAAAATAAACACTCAGCTTGTAAACGAGAGGCAGATGGGATGGATTTAATGTTAAACTTATTAGTTTTCTTAATTAAAAACTATAAATATCATACTTCATGAGAGATTCATAGCTCATAAGTGTTGTTTTCTCTCTTGGTTAGATGTAGCCTTACACGCGATGACTAACTCGTCCCTCTTTCTCTCTCTGTGTGAATATGTGTGTTTTTACAGCCTATTACCGGTTTGTGGTCCTGTTTTTTAACTGTATGCTGACTTTCGGCTCTTATTTCTGCTTTGACATTCCCAGTGTCCTGCAGGAGCAGTTTCAGGGGGTGAGAACCAATTTACTGACCTCTGTGCTCACTTTCACATCTCTTCCTCTTAGTTTAGGCAGATCTGAAGTGGCCATATTATGAGGAATCACATTTTCCTTGATATTTTGAGATATGTGACAGCATTTACAAATACAACAGAGCATTTATTGAGAATGAGCTGCATACGCTTTAAATTGCCAGACAGATGAATACATCAGAACATATGACCGCCCACATTTACACTAAAGTGAAATCTTATTGGGTGACCAGAAACTTGGCCAACCAATCACAATAACAGAATGGGAGCAGGATAGATAAAAGGATAAAGTCTGTAAGACCATAGATAGTCTGAAATCAGATAATTGTATGTGAAAACGCATTACTAACAAATTATATAATACATTAATGTTTGTTATGACCCTTTAAACAACATGAGAGTAGCAAATATTACATATAAAGCTCTCTGGTTCAGGAACTAAGTAAGTTTTCTCTGTTTTCTCTTACAGAATTTGACATGTCCAAACGGGACGGTGAGTAACAGCACTGCTAATGGCACAGGAGCGTGTGTGGAAGGTTTGGGAATGACGCCACAGGAGTACAACCTGCTTTATGCCATCTACGCCTGGACGTGAGACTCACACAGCAAGAATTAAATGACCGTCTGTCACCCTCTAAAGCTTCACCCTACTTATCAGCTTTAAAATGAGTCTTGTCTTGTTTTCCCAGGAATGCTGTGGTGGTCATCATGGCGGGATTCCTCATTGATAAGTTGGGAAACCGCTGTAAGTAGGATACAATTTTCCTTATCTTTAGTAAGCTGTTTTGAAATCCATCAGAATTTCGTCAATATTCAGTATTCTTTTTTGAATATGTGTTTATGTGACGTTTGATGCAAGTGTTTGGATTTTCTCTCCTGTAGTTGGTGTTTTCCTGTTCTCCTTCCTGACTGTGTTGGGATCAGCTATCTTTGCATTGGGGTCTCATTTTAAGGGCACGACATACCTGTTGCCCCTCATGCTGACCGGACGACTTCTGTTTGGTTCTGGAAACGGATCCCTGACCAGTATGACATCAGATATTCACCTGTAACACCACTGACATTAAGCAGATTTAACTCTAGAAACGCCAAATCTTTGGTTCTAAATTTAGAGGTTAGGTGTGCACTGGAATTTGTTGAGGTTTTCAGGAGCACTGGGTTCATACATGCATGCATACATATATGTGACCCTGGAGCACAAAACCAGTCATAAGTCGCTGGGGTATATTTGTAGCAATAGCCAAAAATACATTGTATGGGTCAAAATTATTGATTTTTCTTTTATGTGAAAAATCATTAGGATATTTATTAAAGATCATGTTCTATGAAGAGCTAAGAACTTCATTTGGACAACTTTAAACGCGATTTTCTCATTTTTTAGATTTTTTTGCACCCTCAGATTCTAGATTTTCAAATAGTCGTATCTCGGCCAAATATTGTCCTATCCTAACAAACCATACAGCAATGGAGAGCTTATTTGTTCAGCTTTCATGTGCTGTATAAATCTCAATTTCAAAAAACTGACCCTTATGACTGGTTTTGTGGTCCTGGGTCATATATATATACTCAAAAGAATAGAAATAAAATGTAAATTAGGAACAAGGATAAAGGGATTAAGTATAAAAACAATAAAAATGAAGTAAATTATATGTGAATTTAGATTGATTAGGTATTGTTTGTGTTTTATTGTTCCCTACTCTGTCAGCAAGTCGTAGCAAGAGTTTCCAAGCTGCAAATTAAAATAAATATTGGCGGTCAGAGAGACAATATTACTGCACATTACATTTAAAAAATGATTAGGCGTTTGAGAAAAGGCAGATGATCTATATTCGCACAAACACACAAGGAATTTGTTGTGATTTTCAGGAGCTCTGGGTACATACGTTCATATATACACAAGGACTGAAATAATCAAGGATAAAAGGATTAAGAATAAAAATAAAAATAAAATAATAAAGTAAATGGTCTCAAAATAAAAGCTAATTATAGTGAAGTAAAAATGAAAGTTAAAAAAAAAGAAAATTAACTCTAATGTCAGTAGCATCAGTAGTGGCTTCAAAATTAATTGCAATTTTTTTAAAATCAAAAACTCAGTCTGATCTCTTTAAATGGTTTTACTTCCCTGTGGCCTGTTTACTTCCTTAAATCATATTTCTGGTTTTATTGAACATGATTCATCTGTGCATGCTATTCCAAAGAAAACAATCTTAACAATCAAATTGGAATCTTTACTGAGAATTGAAATGCTTCTTCTTCCTCTGAAATGACTTTCCATTTCCACTGAGTTTATTGGACTGTATAATAATTTAGTCATTGTTTTAACAAGCTCTCATTCTGTCTGGCACATTGAAAATCAGAAATATGTCATATTATAGAAGTAAAACATTTTAACATCCATTTCCACTAGTTGGCTATCGATCTGCATTATGATAGAAAACCCTACAAAGTCCTAAAAGGATCCAACAACATACAAATGTGCTTTTATTTCTCAGATTCTTTACACGCCTAATAAACAAGGGTTTTCATTGCCAAAATCATTACTAACACACCCGTAAAAAGCATTAAGTTACATTGAATCTCATTCATTTCTCAGTTGTCCAAAACCGTATCACGGCGTTCTGGTTCCGTGGGAAGGAGCTGGCTCTGGCGTTTGGACTGACTCTGGCCTTCTCCCGCTTGGGCTCGGTTCTGAACTTCTTCCTGACGCAGAGGTTTGAGTCTCAGTACGGTATGCAGTGGACGCTGTGGGGAGGTGAGAAACACAGCATGCACACGATTAGACTCTTGATCTGACGTTCTGGGGATGTTGTAGAGCCTTATGCATCTGTTTTATGTGCAAAGGCACGTTCCTGTGTGTTCTTGGCTTCCTGTCGGCTGTAACGGTCAGCGTTCTGGATAAGATGGGCATGAAGCAGTTGGGATTGGATGGAGTGATTCAGGAGGAGTCACGCAAAGTGGTGAGACAGATAAAGATGCCATAAGCTGATATATGTTGGGAATACCATACTACTATACTAGTCTATTGCTGCAATATAATATGATAATAATAATAAACTTTATATATATATATATATATATATATGTATGTGTGTGTATGTGTAATGTAATAAGTATATGATAAATATTTAGCATTTTATTATTTTTATATCTTTTGTATATCTATCTATCTATCTATGCAAATAATGCACAAAAAAATAAAAAAAATATATATACAGTGTGTGTGTGTGTGTATATATATATATTGGTTTTAATGATTTGTTGTTGTGATACAGCTGCTGTATTTTGTGTGTGTAGAGAGTTCAGGATGGATGTGGTCTGTCTCTCAGATACTGGCTGCTGGTTCTTACCATCATGTTCTTTTATAATGGCATCTTCCCCTTCATCGCTGATGCCAGGTACAGTTATGAACCATGTAGACGTTTCTACATTAAAATGGATTTGTACACATTGTTCATGTGCTGCTGTGTGTGTGTTTTCAGTAAGTTTATCCAGGATAAATACAGTGGGTACAGTCAGAAGGAGGCGGCGTACATCGCAGGCGCTGTGTATGACAGTTCACTGGTGCTGTCTGCTGCTGTCGGCATCCTCATCGTAAGTCAATGCTCATCAAACACTAGTGCTTTTTATCAAACGCATTCAACTCACAAATACATATCACTCAGATTTTACATGGTTTACATGGTTACACACATATTTTGTTTTTATTCAGCAAGGATGCATCACATTGATCAAAAGTAACATTAAAAATGTCTATAATGTTACAAAAGATTTCAGTTTTTTTTTTCAGTCTTTCTATTCATCAAAGAATCCTGAAAAAAAAAATGAATCAGTTTTCAACTTGAGCAGCAAATCAGCATATTACAATGATTTCTGAAGATCATGTGACACTGAAGAGTAATGATGCTGAAAATACAGCTTTGATCACAGAAATAAATTACATTTTAAAATATATTCAAATAAAAAATTATTTTAAATCGTAATAATATTTTCACAATATTACTGTTTTTACTGTATTTTTAATCAAATAAATGCAGCCTTGGTGAGCAGAAGAGACTTCTTTCGAAATGATAAAAAAAATCTTACCAACCCCAAACTTATTAAATGTATCATGAAATATAAATAGCATCACTATATGATGCCACTAAAGGACTTTGTCCTCCGTTGTATTTTCAGTCATGTGTTTAATGTTAATAGTGTTTGTGTCTGTGCTGCAGGACTATGTGGGGCTGCGCGGTGTGCTTGCGGGGCTCTGTGCCGTGTTGACGCTGCCTGTGTTTGGTCTGCTGGCCTTCACGTTCATCCCTCCTCTCATATCTACCATCTGGCTCGGCATCACTTACTCATTCGCTGCTGTGAGTATCAATCATGAACACACACGCACAGACACTATAGACGCCAGTTATATGATGTTACTGAAGTATTAAAGTCATTAAACACTCACAATTGTGTGGTCTGCCAACTTTGTAAGAGACCGTGTGATTGGTTGAAGTATTGATCATTTATCACTGAACATGATGCTGACATTTTAAAACATGAGACATCTGAGATTTGTTTGCAGGATTAGATTAGAAAGTAATAAAGTAAAAAAAGAAAAATACAGCAAATTATATGAATGAAAAATTCACATTTAATTCATTCTTAATCTTAAGTCTTCTAAAGTGCTGTATGTTATTTACATTTTAATAATGATATGTTAGCTGTAAACCAGAAAAAAAGGAGTTTATTCAGAATATTTTAATATAGCAATATTTTTATTAGATTTGTTCTTTTAAAATTTTTCATTTTTAAAAACTTAAAAATGTTATATCCCTGAGAGAAAAACTAAAATATCTTTACAAAATCATCCTTGATTGGATTGAACCTAAGAAATTTTTATAATTATATCCCACCTTGTAATTTCACATCTTACCCCACTCTCCCCTTCATGTTATAATATAATATAATATAATATAATATAATATAAAATATCTAAATTTTTATTTAGAGATATTTATACAGTTTATATTTCTATATTTACTAATTTATTATATATATAGATAGATACTAGATAGATAGATAGATAGGAAATAATTATATAAAAAACTGAATATATACATTTAAATTGTAAAAATATATAAGTAAATCTGAATGTGTGTGTATATATGTATTATAAATAATATTAATATCATTTGTATATATTAATAATATACATAGATTATATTGCACAAATTTTCCACATATGTTTCACAAATAAAGCTAAACAAAATGTATGTCCAAGACCTATGGTATAACATTGAATAGTAAAGTTAAACATACGTGTGTGATTCTTTCTGTTAGACTGACATTTTTTAATCTGTTTTCTATTTCGTTTGTGTGTCATTTCACCTAGAAAATATTGTGCCATTATTCTGAATTCAAATGTTTTGCAAATAAAATGGAAGAAAAGACCTGTGATAAACACTGCATGATAATATACATATTGAATTCCTGCTGTTGAACTTCAGTTTATCATTGTTTTTTATTATTTGGTGTGTTGTAGGCGAGCATGTGGCCCTCCATCCCGCTGGTGGTTCCTCAAGCCACACTGGGCACAGCGATGGGACTGGCCACATCCGTACAGATGATCGGCATCGGCATTTCTAACCTGGTGGTGGGACAGATACTGGGAACCAAATCCAGGTGACATAAATGGCCAACATTCATTTTCATCGCACACTGAAATTGAATACAGTACATGTTTATTCATGCACATTTTATTATTTCACAAAAAGTACCCATATTATGTAGGGATGTAACGATTCACTCAACTCACGATTCGATTCGATTCAGGCTTTTTAAAAAAATTTTTATGAGATTTAAGACAAATTATAAATTAAATGTGTCCTTTTATTATTGCTTGGACAAAATGCTTCACATTTCTTAGTGAAATTGAAATATATCACTATAATAATATACTAATATAGCACTTGCATATTATTGCTCTTTTGTTGGTTTTAATTGCTTCTATTGTCCTCATTTGTAAGTCGCTTTGGATAAAAGCGTCTGCTAAATGACTAAATTTAAATATAATTTCACTCTCTGCCAGCAGGTGGCGCTTAAAGCCTTTCCTTGGTTTCCGCTGTAAACAAAGCAGCGCTGCACTTTTGACAGCATCATGATATTCTTTGAAGTATGTTTGAGTACCATGTGAGTTTTGTGTGTGTGTTGCACAGTGATGTTAAGATCCCGTTGTGGAGATGGCAATATATGATGATCTTTATGCTGGCCAATACCATCAGCTGCATAGTCACCTCTACCATCCTCAACATCGTTGACTACAGACAGGTACAGTAACACACACACACACACATCCGCCCACTATCGCCACATCTCTCTGAATCAGCCATCATAGATGGGTAACCTCAGGTAACCATAGCAACAGTAAGATGGAACGAGAACTGTGAAGAGTTTGTGGAACACAGAGTTCACATTGGTACGATGTTTAAGAATGTGTGATTGTATGCGACCTTGATCGGCCTAATTACAGGATTATCTCCGAGCCTGAAAAGCCGGATTCGCCTCTGTTATTATCTACATCTTGCATTAGAATGATAGAGAAACTGCTATCAGTGGATCCGAACTTATGCATGACTTGAGCGACACATGAACTATGAGTTTTGAGTCAACAGTACTTTGGAATAGCAGAGGTTATTTTTGGCTTTGAAAACGCATCCATTAGAGGTGGATTGGATTGTTCTGCTGTGACAGTATCGTTCATGATCTAATGCAGTGAAAATTAACTGAAAATCAACCCTGGTTATTTTTGTAATACTGTATACATTCCTGATCTTATCATGCACAGTTCATCAGTGCATGTGATACCAAAGGAAAAATGTTCATGATCTTAATCAGTAGATGAAATGAAGCAGAATTTGAATTTTATGAATAGTTTTATGATGACCTTAAGATATTCAGGTTATGAATGATTGTTTAATGCAATGATACGTGTGTGTTTACAGGGAAGCACTCTGAATAAGACGTCTAAGAGGTCAGCGGCTCAGAGCGCTCCTGCTCAGACCGACAGAGAACCGCTGATGAATGAAGAGGACAACGAGGAGATAAACGACGCTCCATCCATCAACAGGACATAGAGGAATCGCTCACGTTCTGTCTCTCGTGTCATTGGACGTTACTAAAGGGAAACACGTGCTCTCAGAAACGTGTCATATGATGTTCAGTATTAACGCTAACATAAAGACTTCAGGTACCCTCATTTGAAGAGTTTCACTTTTTAGGCCAGTCCTAAAACTCTATGATTGACTACCACGTTTAATGTAATACTTTAAAAAATGTGAAAGATCGGTAATAATTTCTTATGCATTATGGAAGCTGGTATGGAAATATTGACACTCATCTGTTTTATAACATCAAACAAACATCGCTTGTTATTGTGTGTTATTGTCCTACTAATTTGAGGAAATCAGAGGGTTTGTCTAAATTTATTATGTCATGTCATTTTAAAAACAAAATGGGTCAGATTCACGCATCATGAAATTTTAACATTGCCTTTGAACTTGCATTAATGGCTGCTTACAAAATGATTGAATAATATGCATTTTGCAATTTTTAAGGTTTTTTTAAAAATAAAAAATAACGTTTTGTGCCTCTGAGAGATCATGAATACTGTTCTTTTTTTTTTTTTTTATTTCCTTGTTCAGTTACTACATACATATAAGCAAAAAATGAAAAATATTATTTTAATATAGTATAATGAAATTCTAAATAAATATTTTATTAAAATATATTTTAACATATTTACATTTAAAATATATAGACATACAATAATATAATTAATTATTTAAATCTAAAATATTTTAATATTTTTATTATAATTATCAATAAATATATAATATTAAAGTTAAGTGTTAAAATATTAGTATTAAAATACAATGAAATCGCATTTAAAATATTGTAATTTATATATTAAAAAAAAAGATATATTATTAAATACTACTACCACTAATACTAATAATATTAAAGGGGTCATATGATGCGATTTCATTTTTTCCTTTCTCTTTAGAGTGTTACAAGCTCTTGGTGCATAAAGAACTTTAATAATAATATATATTATATATATAATTACTAATATTTTTTTCTTAGGCTCTCATACCGCATTAATGCCAAACGGGGGCACTGGAGAGCCGCTCAGGTAGGATTGGTCACTATCTGGGGGCGTTACAAGGGTAGTTAACAAAAATCTTAACGCATGAATTATTTAGTGTTGCGCTTTTTCGTTTTACAACCAGACGAAAATCACTAAAAACACAGTATAAATACATATAAAATCCTGACTGTAAGTTTAAGTTTACCCTGTGCGCAGTCCACCTACCTTGATTCTTGTTATTCCACATAAAATCAGTGTGATTGAACCATCTGATTGGACACTTCCGTCCTCTGACTACAAACTGTAGGCGTATCCCTTCCTGTGATTGGCTTACGGTGTATGTCGGTTGCGTCGTGCCCCGCCCCCTTCATTCCTGCGTGTGTGTAGTGTGTAGTGTGTGTGGAGAGCGCAGCCGGACCCGTGTGATCAGCTGTGATCGTGGGAAACGGACAAAAATCCGTCTTTGGAGCAGAAACTCGAGAGAGAATCCACACTGAAGCGCACCATGGAGTTTCGGTACAGTTGTCTCCACGTAACGTTACCGCTGAGAGGTTCGTCAGGGGCTGTAAGCTAGTGGAAAGTAAACGCCTCCTCTCCATCACTGTTGGCTTGGAGTGGTTTTATAAGTTTGCCTCATTATTTTGGAACTCGCACTTTAACGCATCAGCGCGTGCCCGTGTGCCTGCGGGGGAGCGGGGACGCGCATGGATCGAGAGCGCGGAAGGTCCCCTCAGAAATCAACCCAGGAGAGCTCGGCCAAATTAAAACTTTTTGGCTAAATAAATATTATTATTATTATTATTGTGTCCTTAGCGTGGGTCCTGTCAGGTGATTATTGTGCAAAAATAAATCATCGTAGTGAGTTTGTGATGAGGCGGACTGCAGCGCGCGGGGGAGGACCCTCCGCTGGAATTATTGCGCAGTTTTTAAAATAACGGAAAAACGGGAGCGCAAACACACACAGAGTATGTCTGCAAAAGATAACGCCTGCCGAAAATTCCAGGCCAATATTTTTAACAAGAGTAAATGCCAGAACTGCTTCAAAGCTCGAGACGCGCACCTGCTGAGTGATGAAGACTTCACACAGGTAATGTATCTGCGAAATCACCTAATCATTACTTTAGACTAAAGCTCTGTCTGATAACCTACAGTGTCAAATAACTAATGACCAGCAAACTGCTTCAAAACTGCGCTGACAATAAAATACCATGGTGTTACTGTGCTTTTTAGACATGGTAACATGGTCAAAGGGGATGACAGTTAGCAAAATATAAATGACTTAGCATAATACCATGTTTTTTGGACATGTACTATGGTAATGCCATGGAAATAAATGAAGTATGATAAAAACCATGGTAATATACTATGGTAAAAAACATAGTATACTGTATATAGTAGATATACATCGATATAATGAAGTAACTATTTAAATAAATAAATTAAAAAACATAATATATATAATAATAACAATAAATATATACAATTAAATGTAATATATATATATATATATATATACATATATATATATATATATATACATATATTAAAGCAACTGAATGATTTCTGTCCAGGGCCCCATACCGTATTAAAGCCAAGCAGAAGCGCTGGCTGGAACTTCTTCAAAACTACACTAACTATAAAGTACCATGGTAATACTGTGCTTTTTAGACATGGTAACATGGTCAAAGAGGATGAGAGTTAGAAAAATATAAATAACTTAGCATAATTCTAATTCATGTTTCATGGTATTGTTGGAAATAAATGAAGTATGATAAAAAACCATGGTAATATACTATGGTAAAAAACATATTATACTGTATATAGTAGATATATAATGAAGTAACTATTTAAATAAATAAAATAAAAATATTAAATATAAATAACAATAAATGGGATACAATTTAAATTATTATTTTATTATATATATTTAACTCTCTTTTTTTTTAAAGGCAACTGAAAGATTTCATATTAAATATTAAAGCCAAGCTGAAGCGCTGGATAACCACCAAACTACTTCAAAACTACACTCACAATAAAGTACTATAGTAATAGCATGGTTTTTAGAAGTGGCACCATGGTCCAAGTTTGGTTGCTCATTAGGATTTGAGGCACAGCCTATTTTAGAGAATGGTTATTAGCACAGTATGACTACCTTACCATAATGCCATGTTTTTTGACTTGTACTGTGGTAGAGCCATGGTTTTGTTGGAGGTAAATGTATCATGTAAAAACCATGGTTTATGCATATGGTAACATTTATTACATGGGTATATAATGTGAATTTGACTATACTGAACCACCTTTTGACATTTTACCTGAATTCCCCCTGTTTGTGAAACTAGACCACAGGTTTATAACTAATAACATCTGTTTTTTCCACAGCATGTGCTTGGGAGTAGTGGTTAAATATCAGGGTTGCTTGAAAGGTTGTAGGTTCAAACCCTAGAGAGGTTAATCCATTCTAATTACCATTACAGCTTTGATCGAGGCACTTACCCTCAGGTTACCCCTGGAGGACTGACCCGTTTCTGGTGAACTGCTGCTTTGGGTAAAGGTGTAAGCCAGATGACTAATTAGTGATTAGTAGTAATTAATGATGCCGTTTAGCAGATGCACATTGTAGTTAAGTGACGTGCCTCAAGCTGCTGCGCTCGTTGTTTAGAAGGTTTAAATTGGTCGTCTAGTTTTGCATGGTTAAAAATCTGGGCTGGTAATTAAAAGGTTGTGGGTTCGAACCCATCGCCATTGTGACCTTGATCAAGTCCAAGAGGACTGACCCTGTTTGGCTAGAAGTGTCTGCTAATTTACTAATTAGTTGCATAGTTTAGTGTTATTTCACCAGCTGTAGACCCAAGATACGTGTCATATCGGAGCTTTATACTATTTTAAGCTTTATTCCAACTCCATTACAGTTTTACGGTAAGGCCACACGCAGATAAAGGGGGGGTTTCCAGACTGTATTCTTCAAAATTACCACACACAGCTGGGTCTCGGCTATATTACTAAGTGACGTGGCCTCCGTTTGCCATCTGTCTCACTGTATAGGTTGGATTGTTATCAAAGAATGAAGTGATGAAGCAAAGAAAGACTGAATATTTGGACGTGGAAGCAAGCGCTTGTGTCTTTGAATGTGAGGGAGAAATCCAGAGAAATGAGCCTCAAAGCGGCACAGAAGTCTTTTTTTAGAAAGCACTTAGAAATTGAGTTGACAGTGAAGTGAATCAGGACTTTAGTACCTGTTAAGGCCGTCAGAGTCATATGTTAAGAGTCTTATCCTCCTGTTTGTGGATCTTACGTTTTTTAGAGGTTCAGATTTGCGGTCATAACCTTCCCAGCGAATTTCTTTTGTATTTAATTCTCATTTCTTCTGTCTTCTTGCTCTAAAGAAAGAAACCCATTTTACTTCTGTGATGTGATGTATTTCTAAATGAATCAGAGATATTTAATTAGAAAAAAAGGACGGGCTTAATTTTATCCATTGAGAGCTGATTAGGTGGTGCAAATGTCTCTGAATTACAGGTGTTTGAGTAACAAAGAAAAAAGGAAAGTTATGTTTTTGTTTTGTTGTTTTTGGTGTTTAGTGTCATGTAAAAATGTTACAAATATGAAAAACGTCATGGCAAAACAAGAATAAAGTTGTAAAATTTTAAGCATAGTGAAAATTATGAGAATTAAGTCAGAAATGCAAGCTCAAATACTCAAAATATTTTGAGTCCAAATAAAGTCATCATAGCATTATATGATTAAAGTTGTAATTTTGAGAATCAAGTCAAAATTGCAAGAATAAAGTCATAGCAATACAAGGTTAAAGTTAATGTTTTGAATATGAAGTCAAAACTATGAGAATAAAAAATCATAAATAAAGAAATTCCTAGCGTTTCAAGGTTAAAATCGCAACATTTTGAGAATGAAGTCAAAAATGCGGAAATAAAGTAATAGTATTATGAGGATAAAGTTGATGCAGTACAAGATTGAAGTCATAATATTTTGAGAATAAAGTAGTATATTGTGTGTTCAAAGGCACAATATGTAAGATTTTTTTATTAAAATATCCAAAAACCAAATTATTTTATAATATAAAAACCCACAATAGTAGGAGAAACGGCATCATTATTACAATGAATAGAATGCCTCTTGGACTTGTGCAATATACTACTTCATTCTCAAAATATTCATATTACATAACTTTATTCATATTGCAACTTTATTCCACTAATACTACAACTTTCTTGTAATATTATGACTTCTCAGTAATATTATGACATCTCAGCATATTACGACTCTAATCTTTAAGTCAGTTTTGATTTTATCTTGACATAACTATTTCCAGAGTCCAGAGTTTTATGCATACTTGATGATTGCATTCAAAATGATATTCTTTACTAAAACATTGCAATGCTTGAAAAAGCTGCGCAAAGACCTCAGTGAACTGTTGGGTTATGAATCGATTCACTTAAATGCACAGTTTGATTCAGATGTAGAAACCAACAACAACATCCT